GCCTCCCTCAGGGCAGATGCCCAGGTTGCTATGGGGGTGTTTGTGATAAGGAGCTTACAACCGGCCTGGTTCACATCAGCTTCAAGGATGCTTCCACATTCCTTTATATTTCAATCTTATTAAGGCGATCCCATTCATCTGAGGCCTCTAAAAACTCATCTTTTTCACCCAAAGATATATTTTTCTCACAGTCCCTTATCATTTCTCTTCTTTAAAATGCTTATTGTGCTGAGAACCGCAAAGGTATTTTCAGGAACAATCTAGGTTTCTATCTATTCCCTGTTCTCAAAATGGCACGTCTAAAATAATTTTTAAAATCTACATTAACCTCAGTTTTGTTCTACTATAAATATCCATGCCATCCAAATCTCATCATGTCCTTCTAACTGCCAAAGACTCCTGTTTTTCAGCAACATCTATTCTTTCATCCAAACTAAACAAGCTGCAAAGTATAATTTCAGTCAGGCCAATCCTCCTCTTTCTTTAATATCTTGTAACACCTTATATTTAACTCGTGGTTTTTTCCCCTGCTGCATAAATTTAGATATATCTTTCTGCCATAGTTTAATTGGTACATCAGATGCCAAAACAGGTATTATCTGGAACAAAAATAGCATTCTAGGCAAAACATTAATCTTAATCAAAGAAATTCTCCCCAATTATGACAATTGTGTTTTCTCCCATCTTAACATATCTTTTTAAACTTCATTCCAAGTCTTAACATAATTATTTTGAAATAACATACAATTCATATTTGTCATATTAATACCCAAGTATTTTACCTTCTTCTCAACCTTGAAATCCATTTTATTCATCAATTCTATTTGATCTTGTGTCTTCATATTTTTGTCAACATCTTTGTCTTCTGATTGTTAATCTTAAAACCTGCTAATGCATCAAATTATTTTAGTTTTCCCATTAATATTTCAATTCCCTTTAAGGGATATTCTAAAACCAACACCAGTTTATCTGCAAAGGCTCTTAATTTATAAGTCTGTTTTTTCAATCTTTACACCCATAATCCTCTCATCTTCTCTTATGTCTCTATTCACTATTTCGAGAACTAAGATAAACAGAATGGGGGACAATGGACAACCTTATCTTGTTCTTTTTTGTATCTCACATGATTTAGCTAAATCTCCATTTATGGTTATTTGTGCCTTCTGTGAAGTATAAATCAATTTTATCCTTTTTATAAAATTCTCTCCAAAGTTCATATCTTCCAAAACTTTAAATAAAAAAATCCCATTCAAATTGTCAAAAGCTTTCTGTGCATCTAAAAAAAAAAGCCAGTTGTTTTTCATTATGCTGTTTAAATATTTTAAAATATCCAGCACATTTCTAACATTGTCCTTTAACTGTCTTTTAGGTAAAAACCCATATTGGTCCTTGTGAATAAATTCTTGCAAAATTATTTTCAATCTATCAATTAGAATCATTGTGAACAACTTACAATCATTATTCAATAATGATATTTATTTATTTATTTATTTATTTATTTATTTATTAAATTTGTCCCCGACCATCTCCCCCAAGTGGGGGACTCTGGGCGGCTCACAACTCATTAAGAACAATAAATAGATATACAGTTAAAAGTCTGTATACACAATTACAAAAAATAAAGGAAAAAGTCCAGGAGGCCGATGGTTCAAGGCAGCAACACCAGGCCTCTAAGGGGCTAGCCAAACCCATACTTGATGACTTCCCTCCTCACCCCAGGCCAGATGGCAGAGCCAGGTCTTCAGATCCCTCTGAAAGGCCAGGAGTGAGGGGGCCAATCTCACCTCCGGGGACAAGCACAAGACCATGCCACCCACCTCCAATTCCCTGAGTTCTCCCAACAGGATACTGTGGTCAACAGTATTGAAAACCGCTGAGAGATCAAGGAGAGCAAGGATGGTTGCACTTCCACCATCCTGCTCCTGTCAGAGATCATCCATAAGTGCGACCAATGCCGTTTCCATTCCATAACCAGGTCCAGATCCAGTTATATTGGTCTATAATTTCTTGTTGAAGTCAAATCTTGTCCCTCTTTAGGTATTAATGCTATATTTGCATCTTTCCAAATCTCAGGTATCGTTCCTCCCTGTAAAATAAGATTTATCATATTTTGCAAAGATTATAGAAGTTCATCCTCACAACATTTATAGTAAGAGCCCTATAATCCATCTGGTCCAGGTACTTTTCCTGGTTTAATCTTTTTTATAGCTTCAGAAACTTCTCTTATTGTTATAGGTTCATTCATAATCTGTCTTTGTTTCTCTGTAATCTTTGGTAGATTCTGTTTTTTTAATATTCATCTGTATTCTACAAAGGAATATTATTCCTTTATACAAATTGGAAAAATATTGATGAAATGCTTTTTGTATGGCCGCATTGTCCATTAATACAGTATCTACTTCTTGTAATTTCAATATCATTTTTTTCTTTTTCTTTTCTTAATTTGTACACTAGCCATTTTCCTGGTTTATTTGCAAATTCAAAATTTTTTTGCTGTGCGTAATTCATTTTTATTTCCGTTTCTCTTATTGTTAACATCAATAACTGTTGCTGTAAGCATTTATGAGAGATGCTTATCTTTCTTGGAGAGTTCTTTAATACTTCTTCTTTCCTTATAGCCGGTGTTTTCTCTTGGCTCTTCTTTTTAAGTTTGATATTATATTGTATGAAATATCCTCTGATAAAAGCTTACTTGCATCCCAAACCATCCTTAAATCAGTGCCTTTATTTAGGTTGTTTTCAAAAAATTCTGTTAATTTTCTTGTACAATCCTTCACTATTACTTCTTTCTGTAACAGCATTTCATTTAATCTCCATCTAAAAGAAGTAGATTTCCTTTTATAAACCAAATTCACAGGGTTATGATCAGAAAAAGTATTTGGTAAAATCTCTACTTTAGAAATTTTATTAGCCAAGTTCTTTGAGATCCAAATCATATCTATTCTTGAAAAGGATCTATGTCTTTCTGAAAAGTAGGTGTATTCTCTAGAATTGCCATTCTTCTGTCTCCATGCATCCACTAACCCTAAATTGTCCATCAAATTAAAAAAAGGTTTTTGGTAATTTACCTTGAGTGATTTTGATATTTTTCTCTGATGTTCTATCTAGTTGTGGGGAGATCACTCCATTCCAATCCCCCATCAAACACCAATTTTCATAAGAAAGGCTCATTAATCTCTCCATAAGTTGTTTGTAAAAAGTCACTTTGTCCTCATTTGGGGCATAAATTCCCAGTACCATAGTCTCAGCCCCATGTAATTCAACTTCCAACCCAACAAATCTAGCATGTTCATCAGTCAGTACAAGTTCTGGTTTTAGTTTAATATATAGAACAACTCCATTTCTTTTTTAGGTCCTGCTGAAATAAATTCTTCACCCACATTTTTATAAATCAAATATTTTTTATCCTTTTTCCTAATATGAGTCTCTTCTAGACTAATTATGTCTTGTTTTAATTTTTTTAAGTAATGATTTTTTCTCTCTTTTGGAGAGCATTTGCTCCATTTATTCCATGTTAAACATTTGTAATACATAGTCAAGCTGAAAATTTAGAAAAGTCAATACCCATAGCACATAATTTAGTATCATCTCTGTCAGAGTTCTTTTGAATCTGTTGTAATTTTTGTATAGTTTCTTCTGCAACCTCCATTTGGACCTCTTCTAGTTCTCTACATTTTTCCAAAAATTATCTCACCTTTTGAACAGAATTCAGTTGAAATCTCTGTTATTTAAAAGTAAAAATCACATCTTCTAATTTGTCCCAGTGAAATGAAATCTTTTTTCTGCTTTAATCTTTCAGTCAAAAAGGAGTTTTCTTTTCTCTTACGTAGAAGTCTGATATAAATTTCTTTTAGGATAATTATATCTGTGTTATTAATCTTCAGTCTTGTATTAAAATGCTTTTGCAGACTTGATCCCTTGTCTTTTTCCTCACAAAATGCACCAAGACATCCCTTGGAATATTTCTTGTTCTTGCAAATCTTGAATTTATACTACAGATGTTATCAATCTCTACCTCTGTATCTTCCTCCTCCCATTCCAAAAAATTTGTCGAAGTTTGTATAATATTGTCATCATTGCTCTCAGGAATAGCCCTAAATCTCAAACAAAATTCTTTTTCCCTCAATTCCAATAGAGCCAAATTATCTAGTTCTCTCTCCAATTCTCTATCAATAACATCTGTTTTACCCTCCAAAATTTCCATCTTATCACATTCACTTGTTTTATATCTCCAGACAGTTGTTTTACAGAGTTTTCCATCTTTTCCATCATGACAGTTTTTCATGTACATTTCCTTTTCAAAAGCTATAAATTTATTCACAAGTGACTGAGCCAGTTTATTGCCAAGCTGATCAAACATATTTTGAAGTAAATCTAATGGAATTGCCTTTTCTGCCAGTTGGCCTAATGATCCTCTTCTTCCTTCCATTTGTGCAGCTTTCTGAGTTGTCATTTTATAATACAAAAATACAA